GGATAAGCTGACTTTGCATTTGAAGTCGTCCTTCCTCATGGGTGCTGGGATAAAGGCTGGTAGGCCCACACTCAGATGTGTATTTTGATGAATGACAGTATTGAAATTTTTCAAATTTGTTCTATTTTATAGTAGCATTTTATCAAAATCAATGTTACAATGTTAAATTATTTACCTAAAGAGAGTGAGAGGAAGTTTGTAGGGCCAGAAAAAGATATTTAGAACATTTTTAAGAAAAACAATTCTTAACTCTATGCCTAACACATATATGTTGCTTAGACATTAAAACATTTCCTTCTCCATCCACCTTTCCCTGGCACAGTTAGCTGCAAAAACCATGTACGAATATGGAAGTCCTGATGTATTCACTACAGGGTACGCAGAGGTCCATTGGAGAACGAGCTGAAGGATTCAGGAAATTTACCAAATGTAGCATATTTCATGTATCTCAAAGATGACACAATGCATTAAAATGTAATAAGGAAAAGCAAAACAAAATGAAAAATTAATGAACAGAAACGAACAAACAAAAACATTTATTAGCACAGAGAATTAAAAGGAAGGAAATATGTATAGCTCTTTGCAGAATTTTCCATCTGGAACCCAAGATCCTGCTGTGACTTATTTGACACTGGTCTTCTTGTAGATGACTCAGGCAGCATCCTGAAAAACAACATTGCCAATTGTGTCACAGAAAATAATCTATTTGCTTTAGACACCTTCAGGAAAGAGAAACGTGATCTAAAGTTTTATGATAAGATTTGATGTTTTGAATATTGTTCTATACCTGAAGGACTGTTGAAAACAGCCAAAGGGATGGGTCTGTTTATACTGTCTTTTGGTGGTAGACTGTGAATGGATTAGGGGCTCTCTGAGACTTGTCAGAGGAACCACTGTGAGGTAAAACAGGTGTTTGGGGAAAATCCTCACTCTCCTCTTCCTCACCTTTGTTTTTCTGAGACCAACTCTGTAGCCCAGGCTGGCATCCAATTCGCCACTGAGTCTTCTTGCCTCCAGTGCCTGAGTGTTGGGATTACAAGCGTGTGCCACCGTGTGCAGCTGCTGATGACTGAACTCAGGCAAGGCAAGCATTCTACCAGCTCACCTACACCCCAGGCCTGGATCCAGCTTTCTCATGAAAGGGACTGAGACGCGAGATTGTGGAGCCATCAACTGCAGCAGAGAAGGTGCAGTCTTTGGGAAGAAGATCCGGGTTCTGGCCAGGGGTGTGCTTTAGCGGTGGAGCGAGTAGCATGAGGCTGCCTGTGAGCACACAATGTACACTTAGTTACACATGGCTACAACAGGGTGTGTGTGTTATGGCCTCAACTTGCTTGATGATGACATCAGGAAGTTGGCCTCTGGCCCAGGAATTTCGAGAAGAGCCAAAACATTGTGAAACGCTCAGAGGCTGCTGCTCTCTGCTGCCATCTCCAAGGAGAACCAGCGGGAAGCCTGCAAAGCACTCGGCCTAGACCCTGGAGCTGCCTACTGAGTCATTTGGCTTATCGTTCCTTCTATAACCTTTTGAAGACTTACTAAAACACAAAGCAATTCTCCAATCAAATGGTGTTCTCCAGTTGGCTGTATATTCTTTCCTTATAGTTTTCACTTTAAATCTGTACATTCTTGTTCTTGTTTTCATTTCTCTTTGATATTTTATGCATAGCCCTCCCACTTGTGTCATCTTGAGTGTGTGTGTGTGGAGGGGGGGGGGTCAATAAAGTCAGCAGCCAGAGCGTTCTCTGTGAGCCATCCTAGAAGACCCTGACTTTAGGTTTATTGGTATCTCAAGAGGGAATTCCTGTCTTACCTTTGTCCTCGCATCTCCACCTTATGCTGCATCTTCACTTCCTCTTCACTCTTTTCCTTGTTGTCTCTTCCATTGTTCATATGCATAGGTTAGATCTCTGCACTGCTCCCTGAGCTGGGGTGGTTGATCTGGACCAGTTTATTTTGTGTGGTTGGTGGTGAAGGCAAGATGTAACCTGTGTGACATAAATCACTGGATGAATGGCAAGGCTTCTCGCAGGATAGTTATTATGATCTTAGGTGTTGTTGTAGAATGGAGTTCACTCCACATGAGGCAGGCTCTTCTTTTGGTCCCAGACTTGTCTTGAGTTTTCTTGTAGTTTTATTTCTCAGCTCCTACTGTGATGTACTTTCTGGGTCACTTTTCCTTTTCTGTTATTTGTTCTTCCTCATACTTGTCTACTCATTTCCTCTGAGCCATTTTAGGAACAATTTCTTTTTTAAAAAATTTTTTACTATTAATTACACTTTATTCATTTTATATTTCCCCATAAGCCCCTCCCTCCTCCCCTCCCAATCCCACCCTCCCTCCCCCTTCTTCACGCATGCCCCTCCCCAAGTCCACTGATAGGGGAGGTTCTCTTCTCCTTCCTTCTGATCTTAGTCTATCAGATCACCTCAGGAGTGGCTGCATTGTCATCTTCTGTGGCCTGGTAAGGCTGCTCCCCCCCTTAGGAGGGTGATCAAAGAGCAGGCCAATCAGATTATGTCAGAGACAGTCCCTCTTCCCTTTACTATGTAACCCACTTGGACACTGAACTATCATGTGCTACATCTGTGCAGGGGTTCTAGGTTATCTCCATGAATAGTCCTTGGTTGGAGTATGAGTCTCTGGGAAGTTCCCTGTGTTCAAGTTAAAACTTATTTTTCAAACACATCAAAGCTAAGATGTTAATGGACAGCATATCTGAAAGTAATACACCAGGGAAATTCATATCTTAGCTAGAAACTGTACTATGGAGTCTGGCAGGCAATGTGAAAGGTCACTGGGTAGGGAGATTTTCCAAACCTTGCACAAATACTGTCTCCATATGCCACTGACCCAGGGCCTAAGCCTTAGTGTAGTGTCTAAAGGGCACTTAATGACACTTGAAGGTCTCCAGGTAAGTTATGTCTCAGAGAAGGAAATATGAGTAACAGTATCTTTTAAGAAGTCCTTTAGAAGGAAATAGCACATTAAGCAACAATGTGCTTGCCAGTCAAAATGTACCCACTGGTCCAATAGTGGTATGCCTTTTTTTAGGGGTAACCAACTGTTTTCTGAATGAATTTGAGGTTGCTGCATAGTAGGGAAGTGCAGAAGTAGTTGCCTACTTCTGTAAACCTGGCCAAAAGCCCATGGCTGGAGAGGTCATAGACTGTATCCGAGAATATCAAACAGCTTTCTAAATGTTTGTGCATTATACCCAGAGATTTGTGCTGCTCTTAACATTGGTCAAAAAGGTTCTTTTTGCATTGGTTATAATTAATTCAGAAATTCCTAACTGCTAAGGTGCTGAGAGTAACTGACTATGAGATTCAGCTCTAAATCAGACATTTATATCACTTTCTCTGACCCAAGGCTTAGAGAACCTCACGGAGGAAATGATAGAAAGAATATAAGAGTAAACTGTTGTAAAACGGATATGACAGGGCCATTACACTGATGGACTCATAGCAGCTGTGGTTACTTGCACAAAATCTTTACGTAGTCAAGAAAATCAAAATTCCAGCATGTGCAAAGGAGGCTCATAAAGCCCCACCCCTACCTGAGAAAGTGAGTCATTTTTCTTCAGCAATGTGGCCACTAGTGGGTTGCTGATGTAGGACTGGAAGGCCCCATATCTATCTGGGAAGCACCAATTGGAACCAAATATACAAAGCAAGAAAGCAAACAAAAACTCTAAAGACATGAAATTGGGTGTGTGCATGACAAGACATTGAGAGGTTCTGAGGGAGTTGTAGGAATGGAAGGGATATGGTTGGTGATTTTTGGGTGAAGAGACAGGATACTGAGGAGTTTTTAGGAAAACAGCTTTAATGTGCACACACAGGCTCAGATGTACTCTGTCTTGTAAAGAAACTGAGAGATGAATACAGTAAAACAGGGCTTTTTATGATTTTTGTTTGCCTCCACATACTGGTAACTCACACTGTCATCGATTATTTTATAGTTGTAAGGTAAGACTCTAAAGATGGCCTGGAGGAAGGGAGGGTCACTTGGGGGGATGGATCAAGGTTTCACATGAGCATTTTGGCAGAGACTAAATCACATGGCTGTCCCTCTGTTCTTCCTTCAAGGCCTGTGGAAGCAAGAACAGAGTTGCAGGAGAGATGTGGTCAAGTTTATGTGTATACAAGAACATTGGTTGGCCCTTGTGCCTATTATTATTATTATTACTTGTCTTTTCATTTCCCTGGATATCAGGAGCCCCTATCAGAATATGGTCAAAATACACTTGCTCATGTATAAAGTTCTCAAAAAAAATATTGTTCTTTTTTAAAGAATGAAACCAGTCAACATTCTAGCAAGGATGGAAGAGGTTCACCGTTTACTGAGGAGCTATTTTAATTTGGAAGATATTGGGGGATGAAGAGTCTGTGTGTGTGTGTGTGTGTGTGTGTGTGTGTGTGTGTGTGTGTGTGTGTGTGTGTAGGTTGCCTGTTCTCCAGTGAATGGTCCTACATCGGGGTATATTCAGGCAACACCAGTTAGATGCTGCAGCTTACTAAAAGGAGACATGCAGGTGGGAGGAGGATGAATGTGTAGGTGGGTGCTGAAGGAATGGAAGGGGGCTTTAGGGATATATATGATCAAGATACATTGTATATATGTATGGAATTGTCAAAGAATAAATGTAAAGAAAAAAGAATACCCCTGCAAAATAGAAGTATTTCTAACCACTGCATAGTATCTCCTGCTAACATTTGCATACGCCTGGTTGCAGCAGAATAGGCAAATGGAGGTTATACAAATTGAGACAGGTGTCATTGAAATGGGAGTGATTTACATGTCTAGGAAGACTGCAATTACTGCCGCTCAAGTCCTGGGTACCGGAGCTCTGCTGGTGGGTGGGCTTTCGCATGAATCCAGGGTGGGAGTTTCCATGTTTCTGCTCCCAGCTGCGGTCTGGCCATAGATTCGGTTTTCCCCCGTGGCTGTGTTTCAGTTTTCTGGAGCCTGCCTGAACAGATCCTTCCTCAACGAGATGCCCTCCACACCCACACTGAGCTTCATGATCATCTTTTGCCTGGTGTCGTTGGTTTCTATGCTGCAGAATAGCTTCGTGATCATAGTGCTGGGCAAAGAGTGGGTGCAGAAACGGGTACTACCCGCAGCTGACATGATTGTGGCCTCTCTTGCTTCCTCCCGGTTCTGCCTGCATGGGATAGCCACCCTGTCTAATCTCTTGGCCTTCTTTGATTTTTGTTACCAAGCAAACCTTTTTGGCGTCCTTTGGGACTTCATCACCACTCTAATTTTTTGGCTTACCGCCTGGCTTGCCATCTTCTACTGTGTGAAGGTCTCCGTATTCTCCCACCCGATCCTCTTTTGGCTCAAGTGGCGGATTTCCCGGTTAATTCCCAGGCTGCTGATTGCTTCTCTCATCATGGGTGGCCTGTCAGCCATCATATCTGCCACTGGAAACAACATTGCGACTCAGATGACCATCTCCCAGGGTTTACAAGGAAACTACTGCACCTTTGGTTACCTGTCACTGGACTTCTATTGGTACTATTACCTGTCCCATGCAGTGCTCATGTGGTTCACTCCTTTCTTCCTGTTCCTAGTGTCCATTACCTTGCTCATGTTCTCATTGTACCAGCATGTGGGGAAGATGAGGGATCACAGGCTTGGACCTTGTGATCCCCATACTCAGGCTCATACCATGGCTCTGAAATCCCTTACTTTCTTCTTCATCTTCTATATATGCTTTTTTCTGTCCCTGATAACTTCTTCTACAAAAATTAAAACCATTCAGAGTTACTGGTATTGGGCCAGGGAAGTCATAATCTACATGGGCATCTCTTTGAATTCCATCATCCTTGTGCTTAGTAACCCCAAGCTACGAAAGGCCCTCAGGATAACACTTAGGATGTACATGCTGCCCGATCATAAGCTTTCAAGGCCTTGGACCAAAGGTGTCTCTGCTCTCAAGTGAACACATATCAGTACTGTGACAAATGAGCTCATGCATAGGAAGAATTCATAAGGTTTGGGTACGCTCTCATTTTCTTCCTTTTTCTCACTTCTTCCATGCTCCACAAGACCTTTTAAAAGTCTCTGTGTTCCTATTGTCCCCTTCATTTCTGTTTGTCCCTGGACTGAGTTCCAAATCACCCAAGTTTTTTGTAGCTAATGGCCTCATTTCCTCAGATGCTCCTGTAGTTCTACATGAAATTGTCTTCTTCAAGCCTCATTTCAGTCTGTACTGCCTTTAAGAAGACATAGCCATTGTCAGTTGTTTCCATAGAACAGATTCCTGCAGGCCACCCACCTTGTGACCCCAGCTGTCCCCTCAGCCACTGCTCTGTTAAGCCCCATCTCTTTTCAATGCCTTTCTTTTACCTTTCTTTTCTTTTTTCCTTCTTTCCTTGCTCTTACCAGTTTTTGCCACCATAATTATTTGTAAGCTGACTAAAACTGATCTCATCACAAGGCCCTTTTCAGATTCCTCTAGGTCAGTAAGAGTTTCTGCTACTATAGGTCCAGTTCCTAACCTCATGTCCAGTGGAATTGCACCATCTGATGTGAAAAGCCTTTTAGGTTTTGGCCAATTGAAGGCAGATGAAAGACAAAGGAAATTCTCAGATGTTTTGTTTTGTTGCTGTGCTGTACATTCTTGCTGGACGTGGGCACTGCTGATGGCTAGATGAGGACTTTAAGATGAAACTACAGCCTAATAACTCGGTATTTTTGAGACCAGTTCATATGAAGCTCAGGCTGTTCTCAACCTTCCTGCTTCAGCCTTCTGGCAACATGCTAAGGCAAGTGCTAGGCTACATGGCAACTGTTGGCTTTGATGATCTTAGTCCTCCTGTTTGCGCTTGGCAGAGGGTATTTCCTGGGCACTGTGGCTCACATTAACATTCTCCAGACCAAAACCTGTGAAAGGTGAAATACTGGGAATGGAAAGAAAAATGTGGCAATTTCAATTTCTGTTAACTCTTATCTTAAGTTCCCATCACTCTGTGTGTGTTTTACTATATACATAACACAATGATGAAGCAGGGAATGAATATAATTAATAAATATCCATATGGCTGTGTCTTGGTTGGTTTAGGCTCTTTATCAGAATACCATAAACTGAGTGACTATTTCTTACAACTCTAGAGTCTGAAATGTAGGTTGCCAGTGTGGTTGGATTCTGGTGACAGTTTTCTTTTTGATTGCAAACATCTATCTGTATATTAATATGACAGAGAGGAAACTGAGATCCATTTTATAGGCTAACTTTTTAGCCAGAGACACTATCATGGCCTTAAGTGAATCCCTGATAGAACCTGAACATATTAGCCATTCCTAATCTAAATGGATTTCTTTCAAAATTACTACTACTTTTGTGTGTGTGTGTGTGTGTGTGTGTGTGTGTGTGCATGTGTGGATGCCCACAAAAGCCAGGAGACCGTAGTTATGAGCTGTGTGAGCCTGCTGACATGGATGCTAGGAACCAAACTCAGGTTTCCTGAAAGAGAAGCAAGCACTAAGCACACCTCAACCATAAAACCATATTTCCAGACTACGTACTTGTGTTTTTACTGCCCTTACTATTGTCTCATTCTTCTGGTATACAACACAGCATTTTATGCATTTCAGTGTTGCTGAACTATCTTTTTTTGGGGGTGGGGCAAGGTTTCTCTGTGTAGCTTTGGCTGTCCTGGACTCACTTTGTAGACCAGGCTGTCCTTGAACCCACAGAAATCTGCCTGCCTCTGCCTCCTCAAGTGTTGGGATTACATGCATGTAACCACTACGCCGGGCTGCTGAACTACTTTTTAACATTTATTTGTGGTGTTAGTGTGTGTGTGTGTGTGTGTGTGTGTGTGTGTGTGTTTAGGCTGAAGGCCACATGATTCTGTAGGGTTTCAGAGTACAGCTTTCAGAAATAGGTTCTCTCCTTCCACTGTATGGGTCTTGGGGATGGACCTCAGCTTGTTAGGCTTGACAACAAGTGCCTTTACTTGCTAAACCATGTCACCAGCCCTGCTGAACGTGTCTAAGAGTTCCTGGGATGAATAGGATGATACATAGTATTCAACAGATAGAACACACGGTGCTGTTTCCTCTTTTGAGTTGAGCATTTCTATCCAGAACTTCTATTCTAGATTCCTATCAAACTATTTTCCAATTTATACTTACGAAAACTATGAAAAATTTAAACTTATCAGATTTTTTTGTCTACCTGGAAGCTAAATCTAAATAAGAGAAAGCAAAATATCACAAATACAAGCAGTGATGAAAATCACCATGGATTATGAGGCCGAAGAGATGACTCAGTGGTTAAGAGTACATATTGCTCTTGCAGGAGACTCAAGTTCAGTTCCTTGCACCCACATGGTAGCTCACAACCATCTGTAACTCCACTTCCAAGGTATCTGATGCCCTCTTCTGACCTTTATGAGCAACAGGCATGCATACCATGCATATTATGTCTATATGTATATATAGATATACATACATATATATATATTGCAAAACACTTCTACACACAAAATTAAGTAAATATTAAAAACATACCACAAAATAATTATGTATTTAAATAAAATACTACTCATCTTTTTGAATGAACTTAATTTACACATAATATATGCACAGTAAATGTTTATGGTTTGTGATTTGTGCATGAAAGCACTTTGACAGCAAGTAATTTACTGTTATAGCCTAGTGCTTTTCATAGCATTATTAGGGAATAGGAGATGTTCACAAATAGTTTTTAAATCAACTGGGGTTAATTACATATCTTTAATCTTCTGAGCCATTGATCATGTGGGAGGTAGAAGGAAGAGATGGGAGTTTTCTATACTGAAAGGTTTTTGGTGCCCAATCTCAAGAGTTCAAAGATCCGGTTTGCCTCTTTTCTCCAGGTTCCAGAAGAAAACAGTCAAAAGCCAGCCAAAGAAACCAGAACACAAGGAGGGAACCTGGAGCTCCCGAATGCCTGTGCCCCCGCCCCTTCACAGGCTGGTGGCCAGCATTGGGATTACTGATTCTCAGACATGCATGTCTTTTTCCATGATTTCTGGGGAGATAAACACAGAATCTCATACTTGTGTAATAAGCACTTAGTGAGCGCTTTCCTCAGCTTTTTAATTTTTAAAAATATTTTTCATTTGTCTGTGTATGTGTGCTCCTGTGCTCTCAATAAGGTGTCCATGTGGAGACCTGAAGACAACTCTGTGGAGCTGTTCCTTTCCTTCCCCCCTTGTGTAGTTTCCAGGGAAGGAACTCAGGTCTTTCAGGCTTGTTGGCAAGTACTTCGCTCCACTTCCACATCTAGTCAGCCTCATGACTTTAATCAGCAAAGAAAGAGTTTCCAGGTGGAATGCAGAGTTGCTAAGGTTGAAGCAGATAGAGGTGTATATTACGTTGCTACCTGTGTCAAGAGGGGCTGGTCTTGGAATTAGTGTGGCTCTTGGTCTTCTGCTGTGACTTAAATATGAGTCTTCATCTGTTATTTGAGGCTTAATTTCTTTTTTCTATGAAATTAACCTTGATGTCTTCACACAACATAATGAAGACCCCAAGGTTCTAAGCCTCCGCCTTAGAACAAGTACTTTTCACATTACAGAGAAGGACATAAGGAACCAGAGGGCTCACTGTTTTGCTCAAACACTCACAAACACTTGGGTGGAAGCCCGTCTCTAGGTGAGGGCACTCACTGCCTGTCCCACTGGTTTAGAGCTATCTTGGTGAGATACCACTGTGAACGTCACTGTTAACCAAATATTTTCTAAAGTTTTGAGAGAAATTTCCTGCTTCACTCTGTGTAATTGCCTCTCTTCCACTCTATTCTGTGATGCTGAGTCCTCAACTGATTAGACCTTGAGCTAAGCTCTCTCAGGAGAAGTTTAGATCAGTTTTTATCTCTCCGTCAAGTGGATGTTCTTATTGTACCTCTTTCATGTAGAGTTGCTGCAAGAATTAAATTTTTTGGGGGCACCTAGAACAATGTCTAGAACCAGGAAATCACCTGTCACCCCCATCATGGACACGAGCTCTGACGTTCCGTAGGATGCATGCTCTGTGGATTTTGTTACCAAGCAGCCCCAGCTGTGTGATCTTAAGTATCAGATTAGAGAAGCATAACTGCCTATGTAAGAGACACCACATGCAAGGCCCTGATCCATTATTCACACTGATGTTGACAATGGGTAGGGGATAGGGAAGCGAACAGGCAAATTACAGGCAGGCAGGCAGGGAGACTTTAGAAAGTTAGTCTTGGCAACATTTGCATCTCTTCTGAAGAGAAGAGCCCCTGTACCTTCAGATCTGACATCACTTCTCTACCTCAGGCTTGGGGAGAGACTTCTTAGAGCAACAAATAGCTCTTCATGGGACCCCTCATGCCCACAGGATGAATGAGCACAGGTCATACAGTTCTGGGATGTCAGACTACTGATAAGACAGTTATCACTTTATTTATCATTTTAGTCCTTTTGTGCCTGGTAGCAGTGGCAGGCAATGGATTTATCATCATAGCCCTGGGCATGAAATGGTTGCTCCGGAGATCACTGTCAGCTCATAATAAGTTACTGATCAGTCTAGCGGCCTCTTGCTTCTGTCTCCAATGGGTGGTGATAGGTAAAAATATTTATGTTTTCCTGAATCCAACAAGCTTCCCATACAACCCTGTGATGCAGCTCCTAAGTTTAATTGGGGACTTCCTGATTGCTGTTACTCTCTGGTTCTGCTCCTTGCTAGGACTCTTCTATTGTGTGAAGATTGCAACCTTAACTCACCCTGCATTCGTCTGGCTAAAGTACAGGGTGCCTGGGTGGATACCATGGATGTTGCTCAGTGCTGTGGCGATGTCAAGCTTAACTAGTATCCTGTGTTTCATAGGCAATCATATGGTATATCAGAACTATGTAAGGAGTGGCCAGCAACCTTGGAATATCACTGGGAATAGCTTAATAAACTCGCTTGAGAAATTCTACTTCTTTTCTACAAAAATAATTATGTGGACAATCCCTACTGTTATCTTTAACATTTTTATGAGTTTGCTCCTCATATCGTTGGTAAGACACATGAAGAAAACTCTCTTGACCCTCTCAAAACATCAGGATATCTGGACACAGGCCCACATCAAAGCTCTCCTTCTTCTCCTGTCCTTCATCATCCTTTTTATCTCCTGTTTTCTGACACTGATAGTCAGTTCTGCCAGGAGTACACCATTTCAGGAATTCAGGTATTGGATGTGGCAGGTGGTGATTAATCTGTCCACAGTGATACACCCCTTTGTTATACTCTCCAGCAACCCTAGGCTGAGAGTGGTGATGAAGAGGGGTTGCTGCTGAAGATAAGGGGCAACCTGAGGGGCAGTTGATAACCCTTGGACAGTGGGGCAGAAGGCATGAGAGCAATGGACACAGCTTCTTTTTGTTGTTGTTGCATTTGATATTTATTCCAAGTTTACTACATGCACTATCTATGAGTAACCTCAGTGCAAGCGGTGGCTCCAAGATCCTGAAAATGAGCCACTGTCACTGATATGCACTGTGTTATCTGGGGGACTTGATGTCATCAACGGACCTGGAAGCTTCGACATTCCCTGTGATGCACGCATCTCCTGGAGGTTAAAACTATTTCCTGGGAGCTAGGTGAAGAGACCCTGACACACCAAGTGATATTTTCTGTGCTGAGTCAGACTGGAGAAGATGCTTAGAACTTTCTTTTTCCTCTGGACACATCCCGTGAACCACCCTTCCTTCTCAGCAGTTTAGCCATTTGCCGTGGGGATTCTTTCTGTCATCACAGACAAACTAAGACACTCCTTGATCTGAAGTCTATAGACAGACCATGGTATAGTTTGTGCTTGGGTGCAGCACTGTGTACCATCTTAAAGGTTCATAGTTTCAAATGGCCTCAGATGAGCCCCCTGAAAGCCCAGCATCCTGAATCTGTTTATTGTTGAAGTTCTCTACAATGGCCTGATTTGTGAGTCTTCTTTGTTAAGGTTGTGGGTCATATTTGCCTCCTTTTGTGTCGACATTATGGATGTACTGAAGTTTTTGATATGGGCAAGATCTTCTATGTTGTTCTAGAATTTAGGTTTAAGAAGAGAAAGACTCTTGCTTTAATGAGGAACTGCACACTGCAACTTTCCTTTTCTTAATTGTTTTCCAGCCTTTGCTACACTCATTTATCCCTAAAGCAACTCAAACTGACATTTCTCAAGTTCTGGTCCTGCCAAAATATGTCAGACATAAGACCCTGCTCTCTGCCCAGAGTTTGACTTTGAGTCTCGGCATCTGCTTCGATCCCCTGTTGGGCACAGCCTTTCCGAGGACCTCTATAGTAGGCTCCTGTCCTGTTCCCTCTCTTTCACTGCTTTTGGTGTCTATCCTGTTTGCCATTCTGAATGAGATTTAAGCATCCTCTCTAGGGTCCTCATTGTTATTTAGCTTCTTTAGGTGTACAGATTTTAGTGTGCTTATCCTATAATATAAATATAATATAATTATGGTTAATATCCACTTATATGTGAGTATATACCATGTGTGTCTTTCTGGTTCAGGGTTACCTAACCCAGGATGATCTTTTTTAGTTCCATTCATTTGCCTGCAGATTTCATGATTTTCTTGTCTTTAATAGCTGAGTAGTATTCTATTGTGTAAATAGATAGAAGGACCCAGAGGGGAGAGGAGCTGCACAAGGAGAGCAACAAAGCTAAAAAATCTGAGCTCAGGGGGCCCTGCAGAGACTGATGCACCAACCAAGGGTCATGCACGGAGAGGACTTAGACCCCCTGCTCAGACCTCCATAGGCAGCTCAGTCTCCATGTGGGTTTCTGAGTGAGGGGAGCAGGGGCTGTTTCTGATATGAACTCAGTTCCCTGCTCTCTGATCACCTTCCCCTGGCAATGTGGTCTTCCTAGGCCACAGAGAAAGAGGATCCAGGCAGTCCTGATGAGACTTGGTAAGCTATGGTCAGCCAGCAGGGGAGGAGGACTCCTTCTATCAGTGGACTAAGGGAAAGGGATAGGGAAGATGAGGGAGGGGGCTGTAATTGGGATATAAAATGAATAAATTGTAATAAATAAATAAATAAACTGATTTTTAAATATAAAAAAATTAAAAATCTCAGACAGCTTTACTTTCTGTTTGTGACTGCTGCTTCCAACTCCTCTGCATTAGAAGATAAATCCCTGCTTTTGGATTTTCCAGACTGACATTTGTGCACTTAGCCATAAACAGCGTGTGTGTGTGTGTGCGCACACACACACACACACACACACACACACACACCACACACACACACACACACACACACACACACACAACTTTCTTTCTTTGTTTTCCTACTAGCTCCATAGCACCATATATATAATATTAATAAGTGATATTTTCCTAAAATTGTCTTTATTATATATGCATACATATATGTCTGTACACACTTTAAAAAGATTTATTTATTTTTATGTGTATGAGTGTTTTGCTTTCGTGTATGTCTGTACAGCATGTGTGCAGTACCTGCTGAGTCCAAAAGGGGGCATCAGATCATCTGAGAACTGGAGTTAGAAATAATTGTGAGTTTCCTTGTGGGTTCTGAGAATCAATCTGGGTCCTCTGCAAGAGCAGCAAGTGCTCTTAACCATAGAGCCATCTCTCCAGCCCACTACATACTTTTCTGAGGTAGGGTCTCATGTAGCCCTATTAGGGAACTGAGGATAATGTCCTGTCTTGACTTCCAAGTGCTGAATTGTTTCTATATTGGAAGCTGGAAAGTTGTTACAAACGCTGTTTTAAAGGGGAAAAAAATATAATACATGGCTTTTTATGTCGTTTTAAGTATGTGTGTCAGTAATTATGTATGAGTTGAAAGGTTAGTGTATCTCAATACAACCAATAAAATATCAATTATGAAAGGAAACAACCTCACCTTGGGCTTTTTATTATTGCAGTACTGACTGGACTAAGATGACTACTATTACCAAATTAATCTCTGGAAGGCATAACTGAGATCCATTTCAAGAATACCTAACCATGTCTTGGTGCCTATCAGACAAAACACAGGCCTCTAACTCGATAGTCAAGTACCTGTACAATGTGGTAACAGCTTCCAGGACAATCCTGTTTCAGTGAATTTGGATTGTCATTGTGATGAGTGAACCTGAAGCTTCCTCTCTGATGCTGGGAAGGGTTTCCCTATCGCAGGTGCCTGTCAGAATCCTAGTGAACATTTTGTATTTTTTCTTTGACTTTTAAAGGTTGGCCTACATGCTACTTCCCCATTGAAGCCTTTTAGGGAGCTCCCCAAGCTTTGATCTTTCCCACCTTTGAGGATATCAAAGTTGGTATTCTCCAGGTGTGACCTGAATTCTACCTCATGGTGCTGTTATTTGTATGCTTTGTCCTTCCTAGGAGATACTAACTTCTTGAAGGAAAGGATGATTCATGTTTTTCCATGTGTCCTCTGCAGTGCTTATAAGCACTTAAACAGTTGGACTATTGCACCTGAAAACCAGCTATGACAGACATACACTTGCCTGCACATTTATATGTGGGCTGCCTGTGACTTAACACCTAGATTTAAACTGTAACTCTTTTATTCAGTCACTGGCTTACTTTCTGGAAGTCAAACCTGTTTTTAACTTCTTACTTGAGGTATGTATCATGGAGAAATAATAAATGTAGAGCTGAGAGTGAGTGTACCATTTTGTAATGTCTTTTCATCCTTTTTATACACTAGTGTGTTGCTAAGCAACCGTGCATCATTTGCTATTAGATACTTCATATCACGTCTGCATGAGAAGCCCATTCTTGCCTTTGTTAGTGACCCACTCTTTCTCTGCAAAGTGCCCTATAGAAGCTTTTCTTTGTTCATTTTGGTTTTTCACATCATTATCTAAGGGAAGCCCAGAATCCATATGACCTCCCCATGGGGAGCTTGAACACATAGGAAAATACACAAGAAGCAAAATTTGTTGCATGCCAGAATATCTAATGATAATTTGTAATTATCACTAACATTTGTTCACAGACCAATTTTTGTATATATTACATTGAGGACATTAATGATGCTCACTAATTGAGTATATAGTTTTGTAATGCCTGAGGTTGGAATATTAACTTAGATCTTTTACATGCTTGACTATTTATTTATATTAATGTTTTGCCTGAATGTATGTAAAGGCCACCAGAAGAAGACATCCAATTTCCTATAACTGAAGTTACACATGGCTGTAAGGTATCGTGTGAATGCTGGGAAATAAACTCAGGTCCTCTTCAAGAGAAACGAGTGCTCTAAACCATTGAGCTGTATCTCCTCTATATGCTTGACTTTTAAAGACCTTAGCAAAGTGGAAATTGCAATCTAGTTTTATTGATATTATGGCTAGTAAGTAGTAGAAGTGAAATGATTGACTGCTACAGTACCTAAAACAGTGCGGTCTGAGGACGCGGTTCAGAGATAGAATGCTTGCCTGCTATGCACAGGGCCTTGAGTTTAATTTTTCAGCACAGAATGACCATCTCTACCAGACAGCACATATGCAAAAACCCCACATATGATAGCCAAAGCATTGTAAGTCATGGGGGAAAGGAGCATTTAACAATGCACCAGCAAAATTCAACCTGAAAGAACAAAAAGGAAATAATTTCCAAGTGGATGATATTTAATATAAATATTGCCTACAATTTAAAGTTGTTTATTTCTTACAAATGAATTAATGTATTTTCTATGTTTTATCCTGTAAAATACTATCTCTAAAGTTTAAGAATCCTAATATAGTTTGTAATCCTAATAATCGGGAGGCTGAGGCAGTAGGATTGCTACTAGCTCAAGGCCAGCCTGGGCTATATAGTGAATTACAGGTCAGCCTAGGCTAGAGTGAAATACTGTCTGAAAATAAGAAGCTAATAAATGAATAAATAAACAAAGGTATTAATAATTTAAGGAAGTATTTCTAAATATTTTTGATTTCTTTGATGTAGTTACACAGTTGGCATATATTCTTTAATTATCTTAAATAGAGAAACCCTGTTTTTTTTTAAGCCAAAGACTAGAAATGTCAATAATAATGAAAATATTTTCAGGAAAGTAATCAGTACAGTTTACTATATGAATAAATTCTAAGAAAATTTGTGTGATTATTGTCAAATATCTTAGAACATTATTGGAAAAGTTTTAATGCTGTTTTGATAAACACATAATACATTTAGCAATATGACATATTTATATTATCTAAAAACTCGCAGCATATTTATGAATCTTGAGACAGTTTTTCAAAGTTTAAAATAATTTTAAGAATGTCTGTACCTGCCACTGCTTTCATTTTAGTGAAAATTCCTAAGTT